GCACACGCGTGTGCAAGGGGTCGAAGGACCGTGCACGCACGTGTGCGTGCAATGGGGTGGGGAGCGGCGTGCACACACGCGCGTGCGACGGAATGGAGGGTGCGCGCGCGCACGTGTGCACGGGTTGAGGGGTGTGCGCGCATGCATACGAAGGGAGGGGTAATGCATAGGCGTGGGTGGGGCCTGTGCTCACACTTGTGCAAGGGAATGGAGGGGTGCCCCGTGAGTGTGCAAGGGGAGTGTGCCCACGTTTGAGCAAGGGACGGGGGTGTACACACTGGCATGCAAAGGCATTTGAGGGCTGTGCGTGTGCAAGGGGTGGGGGTGTGCACATGTGCATGCAATGAAAAGGTGGGCGGTGTGCACATATGAGTGCAAGAGGGCTGAGGGGGTGTGCAGGGGTGGGCACATGCAAGGCTTTGAGGGGTGCACACAAGGAGGAGGGGAGAGGCGTGTGCATGGGCATCTGCAAATGGTTTGCAGGGCGGTCCACATGCAAGGGTGGGGAAAAGGGTGGGTGTGCAAGGTGTATGAGGGCAGCATGGGCTGGTGTGCAAGGAGGGGGTGTGAGTATGTCCCTAGGCCATGGGGGAGTGGGGTACAAGGGGTCATAGATCAACGCAGAGGGCTTGCAGGTGTGAGCCTGGCTGCAGGGGAGGGGAGGAGCAACTGGGGCATGTGCATATGTGTGCATACGTGTGTGTGCAGCTGAGGCCAAGGAGGCGGGGCTGGTGAACTGGATCATGCCCCCTCCTCTCCCCCACTGGAGCCCACAGCTTCCTGTACACCCCAGCAAGGAGACGCGTCCCCCCATCCCAGGACTCCGGGAGCTGGGGATTGGCACTGTGGAGGCCAGGCTCAGGCCTGGGGGCGCAGCAGCCTCCTGCGCCAGGTGCAGCTCAGCCTCTGCGGGCCCGGCCCTCTTGCTGTACGTCCTCCACCCAGCAGGAGTCTCTGGAAATCGAGGCTGAGCCCGGCTGCTCTGCGCCCGGCCCAGCCGGGGAATCGTCTCCTCCAGCCGGAGCACAAACAAGGCTGCGAAGTTGGCAGGAGGCGGCGGTACCCCAGGTCAGCCTGTGCCGGACCCACGGGCACCGCCACACAGAGCAACACCCGAGGGGAAGCTCCTCTGGGCACGGGGGACTTTGGAGCAGGCGCTTCCCCCCTCCCCGGGCAGGTACCGCTGGGTTTGCAGGGGCCGGGGCTTGCTGAAGTTAGGAGAGAGGGGCTGTAATGTGGGAGGGGGCCTCTGAACCCCTGCCTCTGGGGAGGGCTCTGGGGGTCTGTCTCCCACGGGTGCATGGCCGTGTGTGGCTCTTCCTGAGCTGCCCAAGTTCCCCAGGGAGGTTTCTGGAGGGTCCCCCCGTCCCCTTCCCCCCCGAATCCTTTCCTGAGCAGGGTGGCTCCCAGGCTGGTTGTGCCCGGACAGGCTGGATCAGGCAGCTTTGGGCGAGTGACATGGTCCCAGTAGGGGCTGGCCGGGCCTGGGAAGAGTCGTGGGAGCCATTGCGCTCCGCACGGAGCAGAGCATCTCCCTACCCATCCCTGGGGCAGCGCCTCTGTAACGCCAGCAGCTCCTGCCACCCCGGCAGCTGGGTCAGGGGGCGTGCCTCTATTCCCCCGGCCTTGCTGAACGGCCCCCAGAGGAAATCTGTTGGCATCCCCTCCCAGGACCCCCGGGAGCTCGGAGCCGGAACTGGCCGCCCCAGCCAGGGGCGCTGGGCCCCTCATTTGAGATCTGGGGAAACTGAGGCAGGCTTGGCTCCTGATGAGCTGCCTGCGGAGGCGGTGATGCCAGGCCTGTTGGGACAGGCGGGATGGAGGGAAGGCGTGCCTGCTTTTGGGGCACGGCGCTGCCCAGGAATCCTGTTCGGTGCCTTTGGGAGGGCCCCGGCTCCGGAAACGCCTCTGTCTGGCTCCTGTCTCCTCAGCCCCTGTCTGGTCCCAGGCTGTGGCCCTAACCATTGGGGAACCTTGCCCGCACCCTGCCCCCTTGCTATGGGTTTGCTCTGCCTGTGTGTTGTTACAGGTGCCTGGGGCTGGCAGGGCCGGGGCTCCCACCTCCTTTCCTTGATTGTGCTTGCGAGGGAGAATTTCAAGCTATATGGGCTCCCAGTGCCCCCCTTCCAACAGCGGGTACAACTCGGGCAGTGCTGGAGCAGAAAGCAGAGCAGCAGATTGGGCAGGGAGCAGATGGGGCAGGGATTGGAGTGGCACGCCCCTTTCCCAGACCACCTCCCAGCCTAGATGAGCTGGGACTGAAGGTCCCCAGGGCTCGGGGACATGAGCCGTGACCCAGGGCTCGCTGGTGTCTGTGCCCCGGCTGCGCGGGCGTGAGGGATCTGCCGGGGACTAATCCCAGTGCCATCTGGAGCACATGTCCAGGCCCCTGGGAAGCAGGGGCTGAGAGGAACGCAGGAGGGTTCTGTTGTGAGCAGCCGGGCTGTGTGCGCGTGCTTGTGTGCGTGCGTGAGCAACTGGGGCTGGTGTACTCGTGTGTATGCGCATGCAATTCATCACCCCCTAACTGTTCCCGCGCATGCTTGGCATGAAGGCAGTCGGCAATGCCTTGTAGCAGGCGTGGCCAGCCTGTGGTAGGGTCCCCAGCCTGTGGTAGGGGGCAGACTGGGCAGGGAGCAGAAAGCAGAGCAGCAGATGAGGAAAGGAAGCACAGTGTGGGGAGCAGAAACCAGGGCAACAGATGGAGATGGGAGCTGAAAGCAGAGCAGTGGATTGGGCAGGGAGCAGAAAGCAGAGCAGCAGATGGGGAAAGGATCACTGGGCAGGAAGCAGGGTAGGAAGCGCAGGGCAGGGAGCAGAAGGCAGAGCAGCAGATGGGGCAGGGGACCAGAGCAGCACTCCAGGAGGGGGCTGGGCTGCTCTGTGGCCCCCTACCACAAAAGGTTGGCCCCACCTGACCCTAGCGCCGCACCGGCAGT